AGCCTCAGTTAGCCTCAGTTAGCTCACTCTGCTCCTGGTTGAACTGCAGACTGTTGACTCCTCTCTGAGCCATGGCGGGTAAAACGACCGTTACCGCGACGTTACCGGTCAACTACAGCTTCACCCGGAACCGGAGGACAACCTGAGACAGACCGGTCAACTACAGCTTCACCCGGAGGACAACCTGAGACACAAACACAAACACAAACACAAACACACGTTATCAACACTGTTAGCTCCTGTTAGCATCCGCTGCTAGCGCCTGTTAGCTGCAGACATTTCAAAATAAAAGCTCACCATGAAGTCGAGACGATGTGGAGGTTTTTCTAAAGCAGCAAACACGTCGAACAAACAACGTGAAACACCACAACAACAACAACAACAACAACAACAGAGATGTTGCAAGACGAAGATTGTTTTTGTTTTCCAACTGTGACGTATGAGACACGTGCTTCCGGTTCTGTTCCGCTTCCGGTTTATGAGAAACTTTATTTTTTTTTACAAGAAAAACCGAAAAAACGCGAATAAAAACACATAAAGACGAAAACTATTTAATAAAAAAATTACTAAAAATAATAACTTACATTATGTAACAATATATTTAAGGTATTGATAACCTATAAGAATAAATATTATATATTACAGATAGTTTTTATTGTCATATGGTCCAACTTGTTCTTGTCATGTATAATTAAAAAAATAATTTTATATAAAAAATAATATATTAAATAGAGAATACAATAATAAGACCGATTGAGAATAAAGAAAGGCAGTTTTATGTTATTATTTATGAATGTGCTTTACAATGACAAAAAAAATCATTATAATGACAAAACAACAATAAATTAAAAACAGAATAAAATAGATTATTTGAACATTTGGTTCAGTTCAGCAATACGGAAGAAAACAGTTCATCTTTTATAATGAATCACTATTTTTAATCTATGATAGGTGTGCGTGCTCATATATGACTTCAGTAATTAAATTAAACCTTCTAATTACCAGAATATTATTTACTATTTTACATTATTCTTGGTTTAAAAACTTAAAACTATTACACACTTGTACTGAACATTTTATTTGTATTGAACTACGTTTGTTAGACTGCATCGTATTCAACCCATTTGTAACTGAATGTTACACTGATTTTTAAAGTGATCTAAACATTTCAAATTGTACCATTAAGAACTAATCTTCACACTAAATATATATATATAAATACTAAATATAGTAAAATACAGTAATAAGTTGTAAGTTAAGTTTAAGGAAGTTGGTGTTAAACATTACAGAAATAAAAACTATTTTTATGTATATTTAGTTCTATTGTGCTGCAATTTCACATTAATTTAACTTAATTATTTCCCAGATTTAGTACCATAGTCCCAAAAATGTATGTATAAAAGCAGGAAATAAGTTTTAAATCACAATTCTTTTCTGTTTTATTATGACTCTCCCACTTTCTTTTTGCCCTCCGGGTGAATCCAAATGTTTCATGTCAGAGAAGTTGACAGACTGTTCCTGTTTGGTATCCTTAATACCAAATAAAATGTCCTCAGGTTACATGAGTTCATGATAAATATCAGGACATTTTCTGGGGCACGTTTGGCCTTTAGTGCTGGTTTATTATGAGCATGGAGCCTCAAGGAAGATAGATAGATAGATAGA